TTTTTATTATTAATAAAAGATTTTATTATTTTAAATATGTGTATTTGTGTGCACTTGAGTTTGGTGGCCAGAAGACGGTATTAGATCCCCTAGAGTTGGAATTACAGTGGTTGTGAGCCTCCTGGTATGGATGCAGTGAACCAAACTCAGATCTTCTGCAAGAGCAACAAGTGATCTTAATTGCTGAGCCATTTCCCCAGCCCGGGTATCCTCATTTCAGATATCACACTTGTGTGGCTTCTTCTACTTCTTTGTCTGTATATTAATATCTAAAACTTAACATAATGCTTTCTTGAAAAGCTTGTTTTAAGTTTTTTATGTATATTTACCTTTTTAGTTTTTGAAAAAGCTCTTGGGACAGTTATTAACATTCACATTTTATGGAAGAGAAAATTTAAGGCACCGAGTTAAGTAATTTGTGTACAGCTAATTAAGCGTTAGAGACAGGTTTCTGGCTCCAGAAATCCTTGAATTTTTATTTTTATTTTTTTGTCTTGTAGATCTCATCCAAAGGTCTTCTGTTTTGGTCCATAATAACCTCAAAAATGTGGAGGAATACCTAGTACAATAAAATCCATAGTATTTGTTTATATATATTAATGATAGGAAGTTGATGTCACTTAAAATAAACATATATGGATGAAGACCATGTAACATTAAGTTCATGCATTGTTAACTTGGAATTAATAGTGTTCAGACTAGTATTTATTCTCTTTGTAGAGGTAAGAAGTATGGAGAAACAGCTAATGAGTGTGGAGAAGCATTCTTTTTCTATGGGAAATCACTTTTGGAGTTGGCAAGGTATGTCTTGAAAACCTTATTTTGTTAATAGAATATTTTATGTCACTTTGATCTGTTTAAATTAAAGCTTTGTTGGCTAAAATTATTTGTACAAAGAATAAGATTTGTTTTCATTTTTTGAATCATTAGAAGCAATGATATTTTTTAATATTAGTGAGCAATGCAAATTTTACTGGGAGATCAACCCCTAGGAACCATTCTCAGCTAGCTCAGAACAGTTACTCAACAAGGACTGAATGGAGGGCAATTTGAAGTGCTTAATTACTAGACATGAGAAGTTTAGTAATTAAGACTTTCTGGTGGATGTGGTCACATAGGAGGGCCCAGATTTCCAGGGCAATCTAGGCTACCAAGGAAAAGACTAGGCTACCAAGGAAAAGACATAGTCTCATCCCACACTTCTTCCCCCATAGTAAAAAGGACTCACAATGAGTCTTACTATTGAAAAATTTTTAGCTACTGCTCAGCAAAATAACATGAATAAATGTATTTGGTATGCAAACTAACAGAATCTGGCATAATTTAGTTGTAGTTAAGTTTCTAATCTTGAAAGTATATAGAGCATTTGATGATTTGTGAAAATGTTGGCAGAAATGTTATTGGATATCTAGTGAATTGGGAGTAGATGTGATGTTTGAAAATATAGTGGCCCTGTTGTGAAAGAAATGAATACAAATAAGTTATTTGTGCTTTTCTGGTGGCAGTCTGTTCATTTCTCTTGGCATTCTTACAGCCTTCGTTTATGTTAGAAGTTTTAAAAAATATTTTTGTATATTTTAATTATACATAATAATAGACTTCCAATGACATTTTCATACATAGAGTGTATTTTGATCATTTTCGCCCATGCTTATCCCCTTGTCCTCCCTCATACTTCTGTTAATCCTTTCTCTTCCCAATTATCTCCATTTCTACCTCTCTCTCCATTCGTCCTTGTTTCATTAGGTGTGAGTTTTAGGGTTGTTTATAGGAACGGAGGTGAAAATTCATTTATAGGATGATACCTTACTAGTGGCTACCCCACAGAAGCATGGATACCTTACCCAATAGGTATACCACAAAAGACAATGCCCCTCCCAATCAATTATTAACTATGTCTAAAAATTCTTGAGGGGTAAGGGCCTTGAGCCTCTCCCTTTTCATGACAGGGTATTGGCAGACCCAGTCTTGTGAAGATCTTCTGTAAGTAATTATAGCTGCTGTTGAGTAAAGTGCAACAGCCTTATCTTAACCATAAGTTGGTGTTAATACCCCCACCTTCCTCTGTCTCTTATATTCTTTGTGCCTTTTCTTTTTCCATGTTCCCTGAACCATGGAAGGGGTAGTATAGATTTCCCACTTATGGATGAACATCTATTGTGTTAGAAGTTTTGATCATAGATTATCTTCCATGAGCAGAAGTCTTTGTTTTTGAGACAAGGTCTCACTACCCCAACTGGCCTAGAACTTGCCTCCTGTGTGCTGGCCCCTCCCACCCTCCAGCTCATTTTGTTGTTGTTTTGGGTTTTGTTTTTGGTCTCACTATATAGTGAGACCAAAAACCTGGATGGCCTGGAACTTGTAGCAGTCCTCCTGTCTTAGCCTCTGGAATATTGGCATTATAGGTGAGTCTTTACCGATTTGAATGTGTAGTTTTATATTCCCTCTTCTGTTGCTTTGTCTGAGAATATATTGTTAGGAACTAGTTACACTTTGCTTTCTTCTCTTCTAGAATGGAGAATGGTGTGTTGGGAAATGCCTTGGAAGGGGTACATGTAGAAGAAGAAGAAGGAGAAAAAACTGAAGATGAATCTCTGGTAGAAAATAATGATAATGTAGATGGTATGTGGCATTACATGCAATATTTAATGTAATATGTAATGTAAATTTCATGTAAATTTTAAAAAGCACTTTGTATAGCCCAGTTAATTTACTATTGGTCTTCTTGGAGACCTTTTCTGGTTTTTTTGTTTGTTTGTTTTTTTTTATTTTTTTATTTTGTGTGTGTGTGTGTGTGTCTTCAAATTTTAAATATTTTCTGAGTTTGACTAGTAGAGTTTTACAAATCAGATAGGAATCTATAGTGTTTAATGGCAAAAAAAAAGCACATTGCTCGAGTGAAGCAGTAGTTTGTGGTTTAAAGGGTTAGGGTTTTTTTGTTTTTTTGTTTTTTTTTTTTTTTTACAGTAAGTTGCTCTGCTAGCTTGGGTTCTCCCTTTGCTTTTCTTAACGGGGGCAGATATTTTTAAGGCCCCCTGCTAAAACTTAAGCCAGGTTATTTGAGGGTTTAAAGGGAATGTCTTTTTAGTTTCCATTTGTGCTTTTATCACTAAACTCGAAGACATTTATGCTTCATGTTCTTTAACCATGTAGAGGAAGCAAGGGAAGAGTTGAGAGAACAGGTTTATGACGCCATGGGAGAAAAAGAAGCCAAAAAAACAGAAGGCAAGTCTCTGGCAAAGCCTGAAACTGATACAGAACAGGAAAGTGAAGTGGAGAAGGGTGGAAGAGAAGATATGGATATAAGTGAGCCCGGAGAGAAGCCGCAGGAAAACGTTGAAGTGACTTCAAATCAGTTACCTGAATCCTCTGAAGAGGCAAAAGCAGCAGCAATACCAAAAGGACTGAATGAAGATGAGGTCACTTCTGGGAAGCCAGAACAGGAATTATTGTGTACTGAAGAAGGAAAATCAATTTCTGGAGTTGATGTTCAAAATAAAGAGTGCAGAGAAAAAGTGGTTCAGGAGAAACAAGGAGAGGAAATTGTGAGCATAGAGGAAAAGCCAAAAGAAGCTTTAGAAGATGAGCCTATTGCAGCCTCAGAAAAGCAGGGCACTTTACTGAAGGTAGAAGCAGAGCCAGTCAAGTCAGTGGATATGGGTGGGGATGAACCAAAGGAGCAAGTAGCTACCTCTGAAAATGAGCTAGAAAAGGCTGTTCTTGAGCAGCTGGTAGGGCAAGATGTGCCTTCTGTTGAAGTGTCACCAGTGGTGACTACAGAGGCTGCAGAAGCTGGATCAGAAATTTCTGAGAAGGCAGGGCAGGAGACCACAGTTGTTCCCAATGATGGTTCAGCTGGTGAACCATCAGCTGCAGATGAGATGCCTAGTGAATCACAGACATCTGCAGACGGGCTAACAGGAACTAAAGGTGGCTCAAGTGTAGAGGAGGTCAAGGCAGAGCTGGTTCCTGACCAGGAGGAAACTAAGCTACCTGTAGAAGAGTCTAAGGCAGCTGGAGATGGGGTTGAGACAAAGGTAGCCCACAGGGCTTCTGAGAAAGCACTTGAAGACAAATTTAAGATAACTGCTAATGAAGAGACACAGGAGAGAGAAGAACAGATGAAAGAGGGTGAAGGTAACCGGGATATGCAAGAGCTGCAGTGGGTGGAGTACATTCTGGATTTGACTCACTAATCATTGGTAAACGTCAGCCTTCCATTCAGGATTTTCCGTCTGCCTATGGATTAGAGAAGGGCTAAATGAAAATGGGGTTCGTTTAAGGGTTCAATAAGTTGAGCAAGTTAACGCTTTTACTAACTACAAAATAGGTCTTCTGTGTGATTTCTGAAACTTGGCTAGCTATCAGTAACTTGTTATACTAGCCAATGAAGGAAGGGTGGATTTAGAGGTGGGTGTTGGGGTAGATAGGGAAATGATGGGCTAGGCTGGCAGAGAATGCTGAATGGATATTCACTTGCATGCCTTTGGATTTTTAAATGTACTGTTCACATGATTTCTCTTTGCTGTAGGAAGTAGGAACAGCAGTAGAATCCATGAATTGGTGCACTTAAGCAGGCATGCCATTTAAATGAAGTAGTTTAACCTCCTGGTACCCTCTCTACCTTTAGTTCACAGGAATGTTTAGAGGGTTATTCACATTAGTTAAATTAGTCTCCCTCCCAGGAAAAGAGAGAACAAAGTACTTAGCTGTTTTTATCCCTTTTGCTGCTTTCCCTCATTTTATGCTTGCTTTGGCTGCTAACCTGAAGGTTTGTTACTGTCATAAAGTATGGTTGTTTTGAGTGGGTGTTTGTTACTGATCTAAATGTGATTGTTTTATCAAGCTATATAAGCCTGTAATTATTAATTGGCATGATCTGACTTGAGCTGTGATCACTTGGGGATTCTACTGTATATCAGTTTCATCTAACATTGGCATTAATAACTATAAGTATTCAGTAATTACTACTTTTCTGTGTAACTGCTAGACTATTTTCAAGAGTTCTCTTAAGTTACAGATTTTCAGCAATTTGTCTCTAATACTTGGACATCATTCTGGTAAACATAACACCTATGTGCAGGTCCCTGCACTCCAGCCAGCACGGACATAGTAACTAGAATTGAATTGGGTAAATAGTAGCTGTCTTGGACTTCTTGAGAGCTCTAGGAATAAAGCACAGAGTTGAATTTCTCAATTTTTTTTTTTTCTCAACCCATATGTTATTATTTTTGGTCTTTTAGAGATAGAGTTTCCCTGTAGCCCCAGCTGGCCTCTAACCCACAGATATCCATTTGTCTCTGCCTCCCAAGTGCTGAGATCAAAGGTGTGTGCCGCTACACCTGGCTTTTTAAAAAAAATTTTATTTGATGTGTATGAGTGTTATGCCTGGGTGTAGGTAAGTGTACCCATGTTGTACAGTGCCGGCAGAGGACAGAAAAGGCTACTGGATCCCATGGAACTGGAGTTATGGACAGTTGTTAGCTGCCATGTGGGTGCTGGGATTCGAACCCGGGTCCTCTGCAAGAACAACCAGTGTTCTTAACTGCTGAGCCATCTCTCCAGCCCTCTTTTTGTTATTTTTGAGACAGCATTTGCCTTAGCTTCCCCAGCACTGGGATTACAGGTGTGAGGTACTATGTCTAGCTTTAAGTTAAATTATTGATGAAGTGTTTATTCTTTAGAGCACTGTGAAAAATACCTTTATCTACTTCTGTGCTCTTGGATATTTTTCGAGAGGATGGGCAGTCAGTAAAACCAACATCTAGACTGAACTTAAGTAACTAAACCACATGAAAAAGACAAGGCTGGGGCTGGACTTAGTGGTTAAGAGGATATACTGCTCTTGCAGGTAACCTGACTGACCTGTGTTTGGCACCCACACTTGGCAACTCACAGTTGCCTGTATCTGAAGATCCAGTGGATCCAATGCCCTCTTCTGGCCTTCTCAGACACGTACACTTAAATGCACAGAAAGTAAAATCTTTAAAAATGCCTTGGTCGCTTTATTTCAGAAGCACTGAACTTGCAGTCAAAAGCAAATGTGTTTTTAGATCCTGGAAATCGCTGACCAGCCAGCCTAGCCATTGTTGAGCCTCTCTCAAAGAGTAAGGTAAAGGGGCTGGAGAGATGACTCACTAGAGCACTGCTCTTGCAGAGGACCCAGGTTCAGTTCTCAGCACCCACATGGCAACTAACCACCATCTGTAACTCCAGTTCTAGGGGAATTCAACACCCTGTTCTAACCTGGGTATACTTAACTACATACAGGCAATATACTCATACACATAATTTAAAATATATTTAAAAAAATAAGATTGAGAGCTAGGCATATACCTAATTGTTTGGTGGTGGCATTTAAGATTTTTTTTTTTTGCTAGTGTTAAAAATGTTTAGTTGGGGGGCTTGGAGAATTGGCTCAGCAGTGAAGAACACTGGCTGTTCTTGGAGAGGACCTGAATTTGATTCCCAGTACCCACATGGTGGCTAACCCACATGGTAACTCCAGTTCCAGGGGATCTGATGACCTCTTCTGACCTCTTGTGGGCATTGTACAACATGGGAGCACTTAGATACACACAGGCAAAACACTCATACACACAAAGTAAAAATGACAAATAAAATACATTAAAATTGTTTAGTTCAAGCCAGATGTGGTGGTACACACCTTTAATCCCAGCACTTGGGAGGCAGGTGGGATCTCTGTAAGTTCAAGGCCAGCCTGGTCTCTACATAGTGAGTTCCAGGCCAGCTGGAGCTATAGGGAGACCCTGTCTCAAAAAGAACCCCCTGCCCCTTGGGGCTCGAGAGATGGCTCACTGGTTAAGAGCACTGACTGCTCTTGCAGAGGGACCCGGGTTTGATTCCCAGAACCCACATTGTGGCTACAAACTGTCCTTAGCTCTAGTTCCAGGGGAATCCGACCTCCATGGCATTGCACCACATAGGTGCACTTACATACATGCAGGCAGTACACTCACACACATAAAATAAAAATAAAATATTAACCCCCCCCCCCCAAATGTTCAGCATGGTAGCAGTCCTGGCTACTTGTGAGAGGCAGGATTGTTGAGCATGGGAGTTTGGGGCAAGTTTGGGAAATATGAAGAGATTCTGTTTCTTTTAAAGAAAACAAAACAGACTCTAGCTTAATGAAAGACGTCAGAAGTAAGCACATATATAATTCATGAATTGTTTGCATCAAACAAGCTCATTTTAATCAACTAATGTTTTGAATTTTAAGTTGAATTATCAATGACAATATAAAACTTATTAGCAACTTGTTTTTTTGTTTTGTTTTGAAGATAGGGTCTCCCTATAGCCCCACCTGACCTGGAACTCACAAAGCTCCTCCTGCCTCTGCCTCCCAAGTGCTGGGATCAAAGGCGTGCACCACCACGCCCTGATAGCAACTTGTTCTTCAGAAAGTTGATTTGTGACTGTGTCTGGATCAGGTGTGGGTATGGCTACAAGTTTAAATGGAATAATTAAAAGTAATTTATTTACTCATTTTGGGGGTTGGCTGGAGTCTGTGACATGCTCATTGGTAAGAGCTGGTTAAAACAAAACAAAAGGAACCTTGTCTTTTTCCCCATGGATTGTGGGAAAGCTAGTTTCTTGGTGTCTTTGTTATGAATGGACTGGAATAATTGAGGTTTGTTTGCTTATTACAATTGTCTGACAAAGGACTTAAAGAGAAACATTGACTGAAACCTCTACTGCTGAGTGGATGGGCGACTCTAGCCAGTGAACACCAGGCAGTAGTTGAAAAGTTTATTTTGAGTCATGCTAGGTTAATTTCTATAAGAAAATGCTGAATTTTTTAATTGCTGACATTAGACTATAAAGTTATTCTATCTAGTCTGGGTTAGACTTGAATTAGATGGTAACTACTATCTTCAGATCAGATGCTCACTGACTTGAATTACCCTATAGCCTGTTCTGAGACTATAGATTTATAGGTATTTTTCAGAACCTGACTAGCCAGAAGTATCTTCAGTTATACCTCAATACTGAGAAATTTTTTCCTTCTAGAAACTGAAGGCTCAGAGGAAGAAGAGAAAGAAAATGACAAGGCCGAGGAGACACCAAATGAATCAGTTCTTGAAAACAAAGTAAGTTGCCAGTCATTCAGCACCACTGTACAGTAATTACTGTGGATAGCTGGTTCTTAAAGGTTGGGGAGCTTTTATACAGCATCACAATAATAGTTTATTGACATAAGGTGATGTAAATTAGAAACCTCATAGGAACCCATTTGGTAAGTTATAGGGAAAATGACCTGAATTTTGAATAACAAGTAAGGGTTTTTGTTTTCTTTCAAGTTATCTAAATTATACATTTAGATTTATATTCTAAAAAGATGCCTATCTTGTACTTGTGCCTAATGCAAATGATTTGGATATACTTTAGTCTCTTCAAGAAAACGAAGAGGAGGAGATTGGGAACCTAGAACTTGCCTGGGATATGCTGGATTTAGCAAAGATCATTTTTAAAAGGTAAAATTCTTGGTGCTTTCTGTGCAGGTGGGAGTTTGCAGTTGAAAATAGAAATCAGTTAGGATTAGACAAGTACTGTTAAGGTTTTACTAATAGGCTTTCCTTCTTTTAGGCAAGAAACAAAAGAAGCCCAGCTTTATGCTGCACAGGCACATCTTAAACTTGGAGAAGTTAGTGTTGAATCTGGTATGCATTGTTCATTTTTTTGTCGTGTCTAACTTCCCTCATGCTCCCATTCTCTTTTCTAATAGATTTCTTTAGAATCTGCGTTCATCTAGGTGGTGGGCTAGACAGGGGACTGAAACAGGATTATATATTTGAGGCCAGCCTGGGCTATTTAACAAAGCCCTCCCTAGAGCAGTCTAAATCTTATAAATGGTACCATGGCACTCTTGAAGTAGGTTTTGTTTGCTTAAGAGATCAAAATCTGGACTTTATACACAGACTCTAGAACTGAGCTATACACCTCAAAGCCCTTTATAGTAGGTTTTTTTCTGAGGCAGATCCTGCTATGTCCTATAGCTGGCTTGGAACTTGCAGTTCTCCTGCCTCTGCCTCCAGAGTGCTGGCATGCATGGCATTCATCATGCCTGTTCTATGAGGTGCTGAAGATGAACCTCAGAACTTTGTGCTAGTGTCTTTGCCTGCTGAGTCATTTTCTTGGCCTCTCAATAGGTACTTTATTTAGAAGTCACTTCAGCCAGGCATGGTGGTACACACCTTAATCCCAGCACTAGGGAGGCAGAGGCAGGTGGATCTCTGTGAATCTCAGGCCAGCTGGGGGCTATAGGGAGACCCTGTCTCAAGAAAAAGTCACTTAGTTGTCTTATGTATTCAGAGGATCCTGGAGATAATAAATAATGAGGGTTGTTTATGATGGTATATTAAATGCTGTCCATTTTTTTTTCTGTCTTCATTAGAGAATTATATACAAGCTGTGGAGGAGTTCCAGGCTTGTCTAAACCTGCAAGAGCAGTATTTGGAAGGCCATGACCGTCTTCTTGCAGAGACACATTACCAGTTGGGCTTGGCTTATGGTTACAATTCTCAGTTTGACGAGGCAGTGGCACAGTTTGGCAAATCTATTGAAGTCATTGAGAAGAGAATGGGTGAGTTAGCAGCAGCTACCTTGTGATTATGATGATCCAGCAATTGGCCAGGTGACAAAAATGCGTCCTTTTGTTACTGATAACTTTAGTTTGTTCTTTGTAGCTGTACTAAACGAGAAGATGAAGGAGGCTGAAGGCTCATTTACTGAATATGAGAAAGAAATTAAGGAGCTGAAGGAACTGCTGCCTGAAATTAGAGAGAAGATAGAAGATGCAAAGGAATCCCAGCATAGTGGGAATGTAGCTGAATTGGCCCTGAAGGCTACTCTGGTTTGTTGAGTTTTATCTTAAAGATGCCTTAGCATATTTGATAACAGTATGTTAATACTGATTTTCAGAGTTGATCAGAGGGAACATGAGAGCTCAGCTCATTCCTATCATAGTACAGTGGTTAGAGAACACAGTCTGCATGCAGACTGGGCTCAAATTCAGTGCTGCATTGCATGGGTGACTTTAAAGATTTCTCTGCCCTCTTCTTTTTATTTATTTTTATTAATTTAGCCTTTTTGAGACAGGGTCTCCCTGTATCCCCAGCTGGCCTGGAACTTTCTATGTAGACCAGGCTGGCCTTGATATCACAGAGACCCACCTACCTCTGCTGGGATTAAAGGCGTGTGCCACCACTCCTGGCTTTATTATTTTTATTTTATGTGTATGGGTGTAAGTTTGAAGGGTGTAATACCCACACCTGGGTGTCTTATGTGTGGAAGCCCTTGCTGTGATATGGAAGCCATGGGCATTTTACCTCTTAATTCAGGCATCTGTGTGATAGAGAACTTTTAAGGTTGAGTGGCTTGGGTTTTACCCTGGAACTTACTTGGGTTCACCATGTCTCATTCAGGTGGAGAGCTCTACTTCAGGTTTCGCTTCCAGTGGAGGGGGCGCTTCAGTCTCCATGGTGGGTATTGTGATATTTTTGACATTTAATATTAGGCCTCAGCATGAGGCCAGTACAGCTAACATTGCTAGCAAATTTTTTTTTTTTTTCCAGATTACGAGTAGAAAACCAGCAGATGGTGCATCCTCATCAAATTGTGTAACTGATATTTCTCATCTAGTCAGAAAGAAGGTAAAAAATATGTATGTAGTGGTTTATGTTCAACCTTTTTTTTCCATCAATTTGAGGGTGGGGAGTTTAAAATAATACTCTAGGAATGACTGATTTACTCTTCTTCTTGTGCAACATTCATTTTCAAAAGAAGCTTAGGCTTTCATTGAGCTTTTTTTCTGTTTGAATACCTCACCCAGCAAACTCTCTAGGCTTTGTTAGCCCAGGGAAAGCTACTTTTGAAGATGGCACAGATGAGTACCTTTTAGGAATGTGGATGGTTTTCTTGAGCAGGAAGTAGTCACTCAGCAGTGGGCCTGAAACTCTAGAGCAGCTCTGCTCTGTCTTCTGCCCATAGTTCCAATAATTTCTTGTTTACTGACTGAAATGCAGGAATCCCTACTTGTGCTCAGTACTGTTCAGATCTTTACCCCTCACCCCATCCCATGTTCTTCAAGTAGGGAAAATTTAAAACAAAACACACTGCAAGAGAGCAGACATTGCCCTGTGACTAGAGACTAGACCCATAGAAATGTGAGTCTTGGTGTTCAGGATATTGACACCACAGAGGTTTCAGGAATATTTTGCATTTGTCTTCCTAAAAACATGAAGTATAAATATGAAGCCTTCACAATTATGTCTTTAGAGGAAACCAGAGGAAGAGAGTCCCCGGAAAGATGATGCAAAGAAAGCCAAGCAAGAGCCAGAGGTGAATGGAGGCAGTGGAGATGCCGGTCCCAGTGGAAATGAAGTTTCTGAAAACATGGAGGCTCAGGTGGGCAGTTTAAGCCTTAGCCTCTTGCCCCCCCCCCCCCCCCCCCCCCCCAATTCTTAGTGCTGGGGAAACCATCTTGAGCCTATTTGTATCGCTCAAATGCAACTCTCCGAACAATGATTGTAGAAAATAGTTTGGCTATAGAGTAGATGATGTCTGGTATATAGTTTCTCAGTTTGACTGAAATGTAATGTGATTTATTGCCTTTGTCAGCCCTATTATCAGAACACCCAGGAAATGGCCTTATGTCTTATAGGTCTTACTCTCATTAAAGAGGGAGCAGTGCTTGGAGACCTGTGTGTACCTCCTCTGTTACATGCATACATATGAGGTGGCTGAAGCTAGGGTCACTTATACTCAGGTGCTTTGTTTTTCAGGCTGAGAATGAAGCTGAAAGCCGGGCAGCAGTGGAGGGGTCAGTGGAGACTGCAGCTGCAGTTGAAAGCTCTGCATGTTAAGGGAGCAGTACCTTCCTCCTAAGGGAAAATGTTTTTGTACATAATGTATTTTTTCACTTTTGGGGATTCTTTTTGTATAACTTCAATAAAGATTGTAGGCAAAAGCTAAGGCTTTGGCTTTTTTCTTAAATATTTGGTTGGATATGCCTTGGGGCACTCTAGGTTTTATATAGTAGCCAAAGTATTCTTTTTGTTGTGTGTTTTTATTTTCTCCTATATTGTTGGACAACCCAATTCCTGTCTAATGTGGAGGTGATCAAATTCAAGTGTGGTTATCGGCCCTTTGTCTTCCATTGGTGCTACATTTCTATTTTCAGATACTTTGCTCAACTCATGTCTTGCAAGGTTTCACTGGTGCTGTCCCTGGATGGGGGCCTACAAAACAAGACTCGGGTGAAGATCTTACTATTTGGTGCTGAAAATGGATGATAGACTATGAACCTAGCTTTGGGTTGTGCCTATCTTCTGTTCACCTGGCCTCCATTGAGGGTCATAATTCTATCCTGGAAACTGAAGGAAACTTGGGAAGTGATTCCTTGAGGAAAAGTTGATATATTTAATTACAGAGAACTGAGCTTTGTGATTGAAAAGGAGCTGAGACTGCAGCGGTGGACAACTGGAAGAATCAGTAGGAAGATATCTGTTTGAATTATATTTGTTCTGTATAGAAAGGTTTTTGTCAATAATTGGATTTGTTATACTGTCTACAGTTTTGACTTACAAAAATAAAGATGCTTATAAAATAAACTGGTTTGGAATTACACTTGACAAGAGGGGTCCTGGACTGCCCAGAACACTTGAGAATGGAATAAAGGTCGAGAGGCAAATTTGCTGTCTAGCTCATGGCTGGGATCTGATGACCAGGGTACACAAATTGAGGAAATGGACCCTGTGACTGGCTGAAAACCTCTTGCAGAGGACCTGGGTTTGGTTCCCAACACTAACTTCTATAACTCCAGATGCCCTCTTCTGATCTTTGTGGGCACTGCACACATAGGTGCACATACATCCATGCAGGCAAAAATTAAAAATAAACCTGCCTTTTAAAATCCAAACATACTTTATATGTCCAGTATGTGATTCTAGTACATGATCCCTACTTGACTAGGACATTATTGGTCCGGGATTTATAAAGCTCAGGAGTTCGCTGTATATTGGGAGCTTGAGAGCTGATATTGGAGACTTATGTGCCTGAAGTCCTGAGGAAGCTGGGAGTTGAGTGGTTTGTCTCTAATCTTTCAGGGATCTTAAATGCCAGGCAACGTTCTAAGTGTATGAGAATCTGCAGGTCTGTCCATGGCTTCATTGGAATTTTACCACTTTTTAGACACAAAGTTGCAGGTCTGGAAGTAGGCCTCACACCTCAGAAACCTGGTGGGTGTGGGTCAGAACTGGTGAAGCCCCAAATGCTCTTCTGTTTCATTGATGCTGACAAAAGGTTCTTCCACAGTGGGTGGGGGATCAACAAAGCCAGCATTGTGGCTGAGGGAATTGATTCTCAGTGTAGATGAACTGGGCACCTGTGGAACATGTGAAAGTCTTTAGCCAAAACTGAAGGTAAAAATGCAGATTTTGAAGTTGAACCACCTTAAGGCAGTTTGAAGAAGCAGTTAAAAAGTGCTTTACTTTCTGTTGCATAGTATTAAATGGAGAAGTTAAAAGGATTAAATGGGTTAACGTAGAGGACATTAGTACTGGTTAAGAGAAACTGGTTAGGGGGCTCAGTGGTTAAGAGCACTGACTATTGCAGAAGACTCGGGTTCAAATCCCAGTGCCCACATGGTGACTAACAATCACTACCTTCCAGGGGATCTGACACCCTCTTCTGTCCTCCATGGGCACTGTACAACACAGGTGCACTTACACACATGCAGGTAATAACATTAGCTCTAGATGGGCTCTCACCGGTGGCAGGAACTGGTACTTGTGGGCACTTGCTGGACTGATTTCTTCCAATGTCTGGACATCTGCGTCTCTTGCATTCACCACTCGCAGAAAGAGCTCAACTTGACCTGCCTGGGGAGAGGTGAAGTCCTCCATCTCAATCTTGAAGCAGACCCAGTCCCCATCCACCACACTCACCTGGGGAATCTCATTTAGCTGGCCAATACTGAGGCAGGGGTTCAGAGGAAGGGTCCGAAATGGGAGACGCCACCGGCCACTAAGCACCCGCTGATTCCCGTCAAACAGTGATAGTGAGGTCCAAGCCTTTGGTTGTGGTGCCGTAGCCCATTCTGTTCCCTTCCAGGCCTGTAGTTCACAGATCAGAGATACCAATAGCGATGGAGGCAGCCTGTAGACAAAAATGTGTCAAAGGTCCAAGCTGAAGATCCTAGGGTTTCTGTTAGGACTCAGTACTCTGGCAATGGCCTCTGCATATAGACAGAACAGTAGAATGAGGTACAGCCTTCAAAGAACAAAGTTATCCACACCTACTGACCTGCGCACAGGCTGCCTGCTGGCAAGGATGGCACAGTTGCCCATAGGCCCAGGAGCTGAAGGCAGGGGCAAGCAGAGGGTTGGGGGCAATGCTGTGGTTCCTCCTGTATGCTGTCCATCTCGGGACAAGCTGGTCATTAGCTGCACCCAAATCCAAGAACCCTCAAGACCCCGCAGGAAGTCATAGAAAATGACAAGGCCAGCCCTGAAGGACACAAAACACCAAATATTTCTACCTCTCCACCCAGCCAATTCTCCAAACCTAGATGGCCCTGGTGGGTCTCCTTAGATTTAAGTCAAAGTGAAGGAGGGAGCAGGCCTCACCCAGGATCATAGGGTGCAGGACCCAGAACATCAGATGCTGGCAGGAGGAAGTGTGGGTCCAGGCCCAAGTTCCTTGTCATGGTTCCAGGAAGTAGCTGCCATGAAGAGTTAACTCCAGAAAGTCTTCCAAGCTGCCCATGCTACCAGAACTGCACCACAAGCCTGCCCCACAGAACACCCTCCATTTCTTACAGCCTTTGGAGTGCCATGGAAGTTCTGGATATTAGCGGAACCTGGAAGTGGTGGCAGCAGGGGCGCAACTGGTGGAGGAAAGTGAGGAGGATTTCCTCTCTCCCTCATGCTTGGGTACAGATCAGTCAGGAGTCGTTGTTCCCTGGGTCCTAGAAACAGAGAAAGAAGTCCCCGAGATGAGGAAAGCACAGGGCACAGGGCTACAATAAAAAAACACATGGGTATGCGCACGGATACAAATGGCACAAACTGAGTCTCATTCCCAGGCATGGGTTCTTCACCTCTTCTCCTGAGTTGGGCCCACTGGGAAGGGATAGGGTGCGATTGGGTTTTCACTGACCCCAGGGCCCCCGGCCCAGGCCCTTCTGTCTCTGCAAAGCCAGGATCTCTGCTTCCAGGCGCCGGTTTTCGGCTTCTACAACTAGAAGTTCCTCAGAGGTGGCACTTGCTTTTTCTGCAGTGAATTAGTGTGACCTGTCATCCATCACTCTGCGTAGTTCTCTGAACAAACCTGGGTTTGTCAGCCGACATTCTAGGGATAGTCACAAAGACCACCCAGACGACTACCTCCCATGCTAGTGAGGCCCTCCCGCACCCCCTTTTCTCCTCCCAGGTCTAAGGCCACCAGTGTTGAGAGGCCCTCTAGTTTGGCTACTTCTGTTCACCCTTGCGGGTCTGTGACTGCCTCAACTTCAGGGCTGTCGCCTCCACTTGCAACTGCCACATTTTGTCCAAAACTCCAGGGTCCCGGCCTCCGCCTCGTATGTAGGCCTCACGCAGAGCCCTAGGGAGCAGGGGGCGGGAAAGCGGTCTCCCCAGAACTGAACAGCGTTCCGCCCATGCCCACCCCGCTTCTAGGCCTTACCGGATCTCAGCAGCTAGAGTTCCTGAATTGGCCTGAAGCATTGGCAAATACAACTCTGCACTCTGCCAGGTCCGCCGGGCGCTGGCGCGGGGAGATGACGTCACCACCAGCGCACTCTCCAGGCCCCACCCCACCCGCGCTCCAAGCACGGTTCTCACCCTGCCCGGGGCTGCAGCTCAAGAACACGCGCCCCCAACACTTGCAGAGCGTCCCAGGTGCGACCCGCCTCAGCCCTGAGTTCTTGGACTTCCCGCTCCAAGCCCAAGGGGCCGGATAGCCCTCCCCTGGCCTGGGCGACGACCTGGAGGCGCCGTCTTAGTTCTGAGGGAGAAAGAGGAAGTGAGAGAGGGCGGGCGGGCTGGGTGCAGTGTGCCCGCAGCACAGCTCTCACCCTCGCAGCGTCGCTCTAAGATCCGGCTCTGTGTTTCCACCTCCACCAGGCGCCGGGCACGGGTCCCCTGCAGCGCCCGCAGCCGCTCGCCAGGGCTCCCGGCAGTGTGGGGGGTGGAACCCTTGGCCACCTGGGGTCTCATTTCCTGTAGGGACAGCCGCAGCAACTGCACCTGCAGGTAATAGGGATCCACTATCTGCATTTGGTGATCCGTCCAAGTTTAGCTTCGATACTAAGGGGTGGATGCTCCAAGTCTGTAGCCATGTTGAAAGCTGGCTGGGTAGGGTGTACCTCCTCTGTCAACCTTTTTAGAGCAGATTTCCTGGCCTCCTGATCTGAGCGGCCCTGGAGTTGTGACACAACCTAGAGTCACAGTATAAGGCAAAGACTCCCGATAGTCCAACTTGTTGGAAAACCCACTCCTGGCCAGAGGTGGCCCTTACCGCGGAGCCCCGTTCTGTGGGTACTGAAGGCTGTGTTCCAAGTGTCTCCTCCGGGGTCAGGCGGCCAATGCAGAATCGCTGAGTGTGGGTGGCCAACAAAGCCCAGGAGCGGAAAGCCATGTCACAAGACCCACAGGGCAGAAGTCCTGACTCCCCATAGTAGTTAGCCATGGGGTGAATACAATTAATTTCCTGATAGTAGCTGAGTTCTTGCAGGATATGGCAAAAGGCAGGGGAAAGGCACAGGAAGCAGAAAGGGCCAGAAAGCCTGGGACAGAGGAAAGGCTATTAGGTCTCCAAGACCTTCAAGTTTGTTTGTTTGTTGAGAAGCCTTAGCTCCCAAGGCAGCAACCTGCAGGAGGAGCCCCAGTTGGGAAAGTGTCAGTCTGTCCCACCTCTTATGAGTTTGGGCAAGTCTGTAACACTACACTTTGGTTCCACACCTGTGCAAAAGGCTGCCTCCTAGACTAGCTGGGCCACTACTATTCTGGTCATTTCCCAGCCTCTGACAGGCAAGTGTCCTTTTTATCACTGCTGCACTCTGAAGTCCACTAGGTGGCGTTCTGTCTGGAAGCCACCTTGCCCGATTGAAAGCTCTTCTAGCAATAGGTCTCTACATGTTTTGCACAACCAACCAAGTCACACCATGGAGTAGTCAGTCTCTCTTTAACTCCCTTTCCTGGACTTTCGTTTTCCAACTTTAGGGGGAGATAATCCACATATCCCAAGTAATAAAAACTGCGCGGGAATAAAATGTATCAGATGAAGGAATCAAATCCAGATGGGAATCCCTTCCTCCAAGGCTAGGCAGGAGCCAAGCAAGCTCATTTTGCCAAGCAAACTATCCTCAATGACACCCTACAAATATGTGCATCCATCAGGTTATAAAAAAATAGAGCACTGAGTTTGTCTCATATTTCAAAGCTCCTTCCTAAACAAGACCTTTAGCTATTTGTCCTCAAATACCCAAAGCCAAGGAATGAGGATCAGCAAGTTACCAAGTGTTTCCAAGTATATGATCTAGCTTAATTCCAACAGAAAAAAAGTTTAAGAAATATCCTGGGGAAAAAAAAAACAACCCCCCCCAAAGTAGTAAATGATAAAGTCTATCTACTTCTCAATCCTAAGTTCATTTTATTGCATGTACTTTCTTAAAAACATTATTTTTATGTGTATGAGTGTATTGTCTGCATATATTTGAGTGTACCTGTCTCGTGCAATGCTTTGGAGGTTAGAAGAGTGCTTCGGATTCCCCTGGAACTGGAGTTATGGATAGTTCATAGCTGCCATGTGAGTGCTGGGAATCGAACTTGGGTCTTCTGCAAGAGCAGAGCAGTCAGTGCTCTTAACCACGGAGCCATCTTTCCAGCCCTGCATGTACTTTCTTATTAACAAGAGTGACATCAGGTCTTAATCCCCAGTTGCAAGCTTTTTTATTAGCACATAAAACAATATCTTTTTGAGCCTGGCATGGTGGCGCACGCCTTTAATCCCAGCACTGGGGAGGCAGAGGCAGAGGCAGGTGGATCTCTGTGAGTTCACGGCAAGCTCGGTCTACATAGTGAGTTCCAGGACAGCTGGGGCTACAGCAAGACCCTGTCTCAAAAAGACCAAAAAAACAAACAAAAACAATCTTTTTGAGACAGGGTCTTACTTCGTAGCTCTCACTGGTCTAGAACTCAGTATGTAGATGGGGCGGGCCTTGGACTCAAGAGATTCACCTGCCTCTGCCTCCTGAGTGCTAGTATTAAAGGCACGCACCTTTAAGGTTCAATAATAGTTGCTGAGGCTTGGGACCCCCAGCATGGTAGCGAAGTTCGGAAGATGCCATCTTAGAATCAAGGAAATAAGATAGCAATTCTGTTCTTTTGTAGCACTGATTATGCAAGCCTCAGGGACTGTGATACACTGCAACACCTAGAATCTTTTCACCTTCCTGGTCTTCCTAATGTAGTGACTATCAAACTCTGTATGTAGATCAGGCTGGCCTTGAACTCACAGAGATCTACCTGCCTCTGCCTCTGCCTCACTCCCAAGTGCTGGGATTAAAGGCGTGAGCCACTATGCCCGCCTCATCCTTTCTTTTTTAGCATTGTAGCCAGGCTTTTTATTCATCTGTTTCACTAAGGTATAATATTGGTCTTTTTTTATTTACTAGGGACAAGTTATTGTAGGGATAGCCAAAGACTGCCAGGCTGAAGTGGTTGTTTAACTTCTAGTCCATTACATTTTGGTTATTTTTCTAATACAAATGTTTGTTCTCTCACCTACACAGTTGATACTCCTGTGTCCCTTCAGCCTTGCATAGTGCCTAGGGCATACAAAACAGGGTCTTTGGAAACATTTGCTGACTGAAAACAAACTTTTTCATGTCTTTTCCACATAGCCAGTCATAGTTCAATCTGCTCACACCCCAAATACTTAACTATTTAGTAGAAAAATTGAATTGGAACTTCATTGAAACATGCACACTGGTAAATACATGGGCACTTCAAAAGAATTTCAGGGAAGAAAATTAGTTTCTTTATTACAAATAATTTATTGCAAAGGTTTTTCTGCATCTAGAGTATTTGCTGAAAGGAGAAATAGGTATGGCTGGATCCAGATTTCTCCCAGACTTCCAAAAATATTTCCATTCTCTAATTTTAAAGAAAATATATTTTTTACACAAGACAATCCAAACTGATGCAAAATATTTATTCCAAGTTAGTTATTTTATGCAGTAGTTTTTCCCCTCAAGAGACTTGTGATAACCACATCTTTTAAATCTGTAAATAATGTTATCAAAATAATCTTAATCTTTGAAATCTCACAAAAATTTATATTTTACAATCCACCCTGAATATCAAGGCTGCAAGAATAACATTTCCTATATCCAAATATTTTACAGCTGTACCCAAACAAGAAAAACAAAAACAAAAACAAAAAAAACCCCCACATATGCTTGGTTAAGGGCTAATTTACCCGAGCAGCCAAAAATAAAATAAAATATCCAAATTATTAGCATTAATTTAATACAATTATAACTTCAATAGTCACTTTGTCATTGACAATGATTGCTTGAGCACAGGGGCGAGTGCCCAAGGGCTGGTAGTAGAAGCTGTTGAGCAGACCAGTGTCTCCCGTCTCTGTGTCTCTGCACTGCCAGCTCCCACTTGTGCATTGCCCCACATAGACTGTGTGTGCATTTAAAAACCCTACCACACAAACCCCTCTATTAAGCAGATAACAGGGAAGAACAACAAAAACTAAGCAAGACAACTGCTTTCTCTTTGGGATATGATCATTTCCCTTGTGCACAAAGTATTCAACAACGTAAGAAAAGGAAAAGAACAATTTTTATATTCTTGAGACCCAAAGCTGAGCTCACGGGGTCAGGACGCCGTGGCACTTAGATGCTACTTCCAGGCATCGTCATCTGATGTCTCGCTGCTACTTGTCTCCGTGTCGGAGTCCTCAAACTCCGCTTTGCAGGTCCTTCTCCAAGGGGAGAACAGGCCGGAGCTGCGGCTCTGCAAGAAGCCGTTCTTCCCAAAGCCATTTCTTCTTAACTGTGGTGAGTACAGAAGAAAAAGAAAAACAAACCACCAGTCACTGTATGGGCCCAGGGAACTGGGACGAGGCCAGGGCTCACTTTGACTGCAGGTAGAAGGTGGAGGGCAAGTCCTTTGAAGAGACTTGAAAAGCAGCACTTTTCAAACTGGATTTTTAAAAAGTCACATTCTGATTGATTATGTAAGGTTTGGAGCTAAGATCCCCTATTTCTTAAACAGTTCTAAGTGGTTAGCCTATACATTGCCCCATTGCAGGACTTACAACTGTCATTTATGCTTTAAATGGATGCCTCCCAGAGGGCACGCTAATGAGGTCTGTAGAAACTGTTTTGTTCACTTAAACCCTAGGATTTGGAAATGTTCTATTCAGAGTAAGAATCCAAGCATTACTTTAGTAAATTTACACAGTCCTTTGGCTTCTGAGCACTGGTCAGAGTACCAGAAGAAACCATAGGGCTGGAAGTAGACAAGGGTCTGCCTGCTTCCCTAAGGAGCTACAGCTCAAACTTTAAAACTTTAGAACACAGTGGTTGTGATTATGCAAAGTGTTCAGACTTGTGACCATGGAACCTGTTACTTTCTGAATCTGCTCATCAGTGGCCTGGTCTGTGTTATCTTCTGCGATTCCTACTGCCCACACAGAGTCTGATGCCCATCTACATTTCTAGTATGGTAATTTACTTTATAGTTTCTGTTGTAAGGTCTTTCAGCTTTATGGTTTCTTGGCTGGATAAGGTGGTATATGCCTCTAATGCCAGCATTTAGGAGGCAGAGGCAGGAGAACTACTGCAAGTTCAAGACTAGCCTGGCCTACATAGTGAGACCCTGTCTTAAATAAAATATACCCTCTCTCCATAAACATTAAGATTTCCTAAGGCTAAGGGAGATGCTCTGACTCCTTTCTCTCAAAGCAGTTGACCTGGTCTCTACTAGGGAAGTGTTAGGACATACCTGCTCTGTTTTCATGTGGAACTCCTTGAGCTCATCCTCTGTGAGTGGTAGGCAACTCTCATCATTCTCAGGATATTCTTGCCATCCCATTGCTTTCAATAACCTGGGGGAGGCAAAAGGACAGAGAAAATACATTAGCAAGCTTAACTGTACAGCCCACTACCATTTAGACAAAGTGCCTGCCTGAGGCCTGTTACCACAGGAATTCTGCTGTTTTCTTCTCCCTAGTGGAACAAGTACTCAGAACCTTTTAATTAAATAGGGGTTCTCTTCACAGTTAGAGAAAAATGACCTATTAGATAGCCAAGTGTGGTGACGCACACCTTTAATCCCAGCACTCGGGAGGCAGAGGCAGGTGAATCTCTGTGAGCTCAAGGCCAGCCTGGTCTACATAGTGAGTTCCAGACCCAACCAGCACTATATAAGTGAGACTCTGTTTATGTCTGTGTATGTCTATGTGTGTGCGCATACCACATGTGTGGGTGCCCTGGGAGGCCAGGGCATCAGTTCCCCTGCAGCTGGATTTATAGGCAGTTGTGAGCCACCTGACATGGGTGCTGGGAACTGAACTAAGATCCTCCGAAAGAGTAAGGCCTCTTAACTAACTGCTGCACCTTCTCTCTAGCTCCAGTTTGCCTTTTTTTTATTTTAGATTTTATTTTGCTATTTATGTGTATATGTGTGTGTGTCTGAGTGTGTGGGCACATATATGTGTGTCAGCAGAAGCCGGAAGTGGTCGTTGGATCCCCTGG